TTGCCCCCCCCCCCTCCCTTTGGTAGATCTAGTGTTATTAAGTTACAAAATAAAATATATATTTCGTCTGAGTAAAGTAGCCTGACAGCCACCTAACGGAATGTTTCGTAAACAACATACCACGCGTGTAATTGAATTTCCACTATTCCACTAAGACTATGGTACTGGGAGAAAACCCAGTTCGATCTTGTGCGGTATGAGAATCAGAAAATATTGAAGCAAAATTTTGGTCCTTCTCGCTTAGACATTACCAGACAACTTCGTTAAAAGCACTGCGACTAATGACAAAAGCACTGCAACATGCCATACCGGTAGGTGATAATTAAAAAATATATTCTCGGTGGTCACCTTTTTATATTAAAAGTACCCTTTTGTCTGTAAATTCATTCGCCATGATTACCAACTACGTATACCGGGACGAGCTAACAATTAGAAGGGCAATTTGTGACGCTGAAAGCGAGCACTAAACATAGACTGGATAATTAATGATTTTTATAATTAAAAAGTCCCGAGTCTGGCGGATTCGTTTCTCTTCTAACGCGTGTAAAATTTGTATTGCTTGTATTCACTGCAATGCATTCACTGTTTTAAAGACTAGTATTATCTATCGATACGTCGACACATATTTATAGAGCAATTACTCTAAAAGCTTGTCGAACCTAATCTGACATCAAGTAAAACTTATGTACTCCTGACGATACTAAATTCTGTGTAACGGCGGTACCACCACTGTGTAAACCTAGCACGACCTCACCTTTTGTCAACCCAACCTAATCCGAGTGCGACTAATGAGAGAGGACGATTTTTGTAAATGAAGTCACACCGAATTTACATATGTAACACGTGACAACAGCTGATACTTTGTCACTGTCAAATGACAAGTCACGTTTGATTCGTCGTATGCTGACTTGAATGCAAGAAAAAAAAAAAACGTTAAAAGTTTGTTCCATTTGCTCAGTGACTGTAATCATGTATTTAGCCAATTAAAAATTATATCACATTGATTTTGAAAAATCGTCAGTCGATTTACAAATCGGTATTGATCTTTATTCACTTCGAATAATTCTGAGAGTTGCTGTTTTCATTATTTAAATAAAATATATGAAACAGTGTCGTTGGTAGTATTATCATTTGATAAGACATGATACAGTATTTTTGTGTTACGGAACATCCCTTAAGCATGTTAACATGCCTTGTGACTACGTCGAGTAAGCGGTAGAGCAAAATTTCAGCTCAGGCCAAATTCTGTTGACGAGGGTGGATCGATATCTTGATTTACCTTGAATTTCCATATAATATTGAAGCGATGAGTTCTCGTTATTGACTGAGAAAATAACACCCTTGGGAAAAATAAAACCATCCCTGCGGCTTTTCATGTATTGGAGCGAAATTAAAGAATTCAAGTAAAAGCTTTTGTTATTTACGCAAGATCCGATTGACATCCGATCCTTTGGGCTTAACCATTACTTTGACAGCTCAGCCATACAATGTTACTCGAAAGCCAATGTAGCTCTTTAATTAAACCAGAGTCTGTATCTTTGACGTTTACGTATAAGCTTAAAGTTATTATTGTACATTAATAAATATTGTACTTGAGATGTTAAAGGATTAATTCAATATTTAGAGAGACGTTGAACCGCCTTATCTGACATATATCTGTCTTTGCTTTCGCAGTCCTACCAAGATCCTCCGGATCTTTTTATTCCGGTAGATCCGAGTTTGGCAGTAACTCAATTCCTAGCCGGCAGATACTCCTTCTAAGAACCATCAAGGCCAACTCTCAACAATGTCTCCTTGGTACAATATCCGGGAGTTCGTAGTCGTTTCGCAACTTGTTGAGTTTCGTTCTTCGGTGTCTCGCTAGAACTAGAACTTATGCTCACCAGTTTCTTAGGAAGTTTCGAACATTTTTGTGCCACGAGAAGCGTGTAAAAATTTGGAAATTTGTATCGAAACTTGAGTTTACATCTTTTTTTTTTTTTTTTAATGGAACTTTCAACATTACTTACCGGTTAGGAAGGACAGACGACGCATCGCAGGAAACGGGTGATTTCCGCTCGTATCCAAAATATCGAGTTGATGTACCTCACCGCGTATCCTGTACAATTTTCGGTGAAAGTCCTCGATAGTGGGAGTGTAGCTTTCTTCAAATTTGTTCGATAGGAATCTGAGAGACAAAGTAAAAAACATATGATATAATATATTTTACAAAATATATATGGCGCTGCGTTTGCCAGAATGTACGTAGATTCTGGAAATTTACAAATTCTCTTATATTCTGAGAATCGATTTATAATATCGCCAAATTGCACTCTGACAGTTTCGGCCTCGACCTAAAAACCTCAAGGATCGTAGGAAAGAAAAATTACCGCGAGAAAGTTACACCGTCGCCCTTTGGGTTACACGTGGTTGCGACAGACGGTCCCTTTTCATGAGAAATGGATAAGAATTAGTTACCAGGTATTTCAAATTCGACATTTTGACAAGCGCGGAGTTCTTGTTAAACACTAATAAAAGCGTAAGTTTGTTAAAAACAGAATACTAAAAGTGCATAATTTTTTATTTCCAACGTTGAACCTGAATAATAATTTTTTTTTTCCTCGTTTTCAGATAACATAAAATATGAAGAAATACTTTTACCACACATGAGGGTTAAAGGAATTATGTCTGGATACTAATTATTTATAGTCTTTTATACCTTCAGTATCATTTATAATATTTATAACGTTAATCTGGATTTTATGATTCTCAAGAACACCTTCCTGGCATATCTAAAGACCACGAATTTACAAGTTAAAAATCTGCAAGCTCTCCATCTTGAAGTTGCAAGTAGTCAATATATGCTAACTTTGCTGTCTCATCGATATTCAGAACTTGACTTTTGCTTCTTTCAATAATATCCAGCCGCAGGAATTTCGGATAGTCAATTCAAGTGAATAAATTTTAACAAATCTTGCAGTTTCATCAACATTCGGTGCGATAGTTTTCTATTAATTTGCAATTATCAAAATTCAAGAAATTCGAACAGAGAACAATTTTTAAAGATTCTTAAAAACAAAAATTACGTACCGTGAGACAATAGCTGTTTTACCGACACGGGCGCTGCCAAGCATAACGAGCCTATAGCAGTTCCTTGGTGGTGGCTTACAAGAATCCTCCTGGGAGGATGTGGAGGCAGGACTAGGGCTAACAGGTACCGGAAGTGCGCCATCTTCGTGTCCCGTGGGCCCCTCGAGCGTGGGGCCCGCTTGCGCACCCCGTCTACCCCTACTACCGCGATGCTCGCCTTCCTCTTCCACGAGTGAATTTCCGCTGCCGCAGAGCCGCTGCACGCACAAGAACAGTCGCCCGCACGCCTCCAGCTAGACAAATTTTTCAAAATTTTATCAATTAATTTTTCGGGTACGAATAAATTGTGGTTACGTACAGTAAAAAAAAAACAGTATACAGAAGGGGTGGTACTGAAATGTGGTTGAAGAAGGACATAACTTTTTATCAATGCCATCCCGAAAATATTAATCATCTCCTTGAATAGGGCCGGTCAGGTCTCGCGTCAAAGTTTTAACATCCCTCTTTCCCTCTCTGGAATTTATTCCAGAGTCACCATCAGCTCGATAATCCCAGGGATGACTTTTCACCACCCCCTCCCCTTCCCGACCCCCGAGCATGAAGTTCGCAATGACGCACCCTGAGAGTGCTTTGACAATAACGCGTTCAAAGTTTCACGGACGATAGAGCATTCTTGCAATTACAAGAGGGTTCGCATTTACGCATAGGCCACGATGCCATTGTGACCACTAGTTAAAAAGTTGCCACTTTAATAATAATCCCCCGGGACAATAGTAAACGTTAAATATCCACAAGATATACGATTCTTACAAAATACATACGAGGACGTACGACAGATCCAATAGCAAATATAATATAAAGTCAACCATATGGCTCCAGAATTCAATTATAGGAAAGCAAATCGATAGATGGCAGCAGTGTATCAGCATATATGCATAACGTTTGTGCTTTGATCTTGCCGTCACTGTAATCTAATTATTTTCTAATGATACGGCCCTACGAGTATTATGAAGTATACAGAGTTAGTAATGTGGCTAAAATACAAGGCAAAGAAGAAATTTCAAAGATTATAATTTTCACAGAATTTCAATTTAACATTCATATTGTGCCAGCAGCAAGTCGATACACCTATAAATTATGCATGGTGCAATAATCGCTAATATATTTACCTGATACCACTGCCATTATTCATGGCACTGATCGCTACCGTGTGCCGTCGACAAATATTTCAATAAATTAAGTATTCAACAGTTACGAAAATTGCTGTCGTATGTTACAAAGTCAATTGGATCTGTACTAACTGACAGGAAGTTTCATTGAACGAAGTTAACTAAAATTGACAAGTATCATTATTATTATGTCAATACGATCTTGAAAAGTAGAGGAGAATGTAGAACCGATAAAGTACAGATAGCGCAACCGTTAACGAAGGAGTATCTGGAGTAAGCGGGTCACATGTAGTCTGCGAACGGATAAAGCTTCCGTCGCGACCTCGTAAGTGGTTCGTAAGCGTAGCCGGTAGTAACGGCGAATTCTGGCAGTGAAAATGAGATTAACAGATGGAAGATAATTATACTGGTTCACGGACGTGAATTGCAATGATTAAGAACTCCATTAGCAAGGGTAGAGTAGCCGCGGGTCGCATCACTGGGTTTTCATTTGGACGTTTAATTTCCAACGACTGCAGGAACAATCATCGACGTACCAGCGACGTTTGGGAACTGACGATAAATAATCGAGTGACCAGCGATGCGCTTCGCTTTGCATTGAATGCAACACAATCAACAGGCCCGTTGGAAGCGAAAATAATTAATTACTCGATCCTCGTTAACTTATGGACTCCTAATTGTATTTTCAGACGTGCTACGTCATAGTCACAATTGAAACGATCGTTTCTTTTTTTTTTTAAATCCGCGTAAATTTTCCTTATATTAAACAAAATTTTACTCTCGATTCCATTGTCTTTCCGTTGAAACGAATTTTAGTAAAACTTGAGCATCTGTTTACCTTGACATCGACGGAAAGGCACTTTCACGGAAAAGATATGCGACCTCATTTGATTCAATTACACGGAAAACGAAGCCGCTTGCCCAAATCGCTAGAGGCGCGGCTATAAAAGTGATGATGCCCATAAATATTACGGAAATCGGATATAACCGCGAGAGCGAGAGCAGAGAAAGGGTCCAGCCTCATAAATAATATTCGTTAATGATATGTCATTGCTATTATCTTATGTACCGTTAATTAGCGTTGAAGGCTATATCGGTAAGAAGGTATGTTAACGGGGAAGTTACAGTGACCAGAAGAAGAAAAAAATATAATGATTTTTTTATGGTTACAGAACAACGCCACAAATATTTTAGTGACGTACAGTCAGTAAAGGTATTTGAAATTAAGGTCAGGCAGGGTATACGACTGTTAACGATGACCTGTAAAGTATTGGCACTTCGACGACGAATAACATGCTTGTTTCACGTGAGGAGAATTGCAGATAAATTAACGTGAAAAAATTTGCTGCATAATGAGAACTTTGCTCTAAATTAATTTTCCAGGAAACTAAGGAACCTTTCGTGTGGGTATCGAAGCTACAATGTAACTCGAACCAGTCAGGTCGATAAAACAGAAAAATTGGTTCAGATATAATATAAATAATAAATTTAAAGTATACCGGCTTATTCAGCAGCTTATTTGATTCTTATGACAAAGCCAGATGCGTTTTGGCTGAATCAATATACGTCACTCACAATTAATAATGGATCCTGAGGTTTGTAATAAAAAAATTTATGATTTCATGATAACTCGATTAAGATTGATTTGTGGGAGATTAAATAAATTCATACCAAATGCGAAATAGCTATTTCTATCATTTTTACACGAATATCCAAAATTGTCTGTTTCCTGTTAAGGAGAGAAAAAAAGTGTTCGCAATCCAGTATTTTAACAAGTTTTCTGAAAGCTGATAAAAAATGTTTACAATTTTCTCAAGGGAGCCTTTAATCCTACTCTGGCCAATCTCCCAGCATCCCTTCCAAGTGTCTTCAACCCTGCCATTATTGACGATGCGAGTACTGTTTTATTTAAAAAAAGTGACGTCACGACCGATTCATTCGGACATAAACGCAGTTGGTCTGTAAAAAGGACGAAACTGCTAGCTATGTTTTCTTAAGGGACAGATGACCTTCGCCCCATCTTACTAAAGCGGATCGTAAGAGTTTCGACGAGTGCTTCCTGGAAAGAGATTAGAGGGTGGGGGGCGTGCCATAAAACTTATAAGTCGTCCGATTGGTCGATCCGAAATGATGAGGGACCAGAGGGGTAGAAGAAGCATATAACGCTATAGTGGTATATCGATAGGTAGGGGTATGTTTGACGTGTAGTGGGAGGCGATGGATATTCTTAGGTGGTGTAAAGTTTACTCAAACAGAACAGAATATAAGACCCCTACCACCACTTCAGTATCCCCTTCGTGTCTCCCCACTCGGTATTTCCGCCCCTATATATAAAGTAGCTCCTAAATAAATTTGTTCTGTCGAGCCTCGGAGGCTTCTCTATGGCTCCACGGGAGGTTATATTTTTACCTTCTGCTTTATTTTCAGTCTAACTTTTTTTCACCTCATTTTCCCTCGCTGTACGCGAAAGGGTTGAATCACTCCAGGAAAGCGGTTTGTTTTTACCCTATGGTCTACGCTCTCTGTACCGACCCACTGTAAAGTTATTTCATCACGTTCTTACCCGCTTTCGTTTTTTTGCCTGTCTTGATTCTCCATGATTTTGTCATCGCTCTTTTCTGTATTTGTTCTTGCTAACGTTTCTCTGACCGTCAGTTGGTAAGGGTTGGAAGATAAAAAGTTCGAGTACTCAGCTAAGAAATCTCTCTCTTTATCGTTCAGTCAGACAAATAAAATTCAATAAAATCACCCCTACGGCAAAATCCTTACGTCCCTGACCCTTCTTCTCACGTCAGACTCCCCAATCTGTTCCCTCACGGCTGTTCAGAGCTTCGGGTATTGGCTGCTTTAATTTTATTGAATTTCCACGTCGACTCCTCGCGGCTAACACGCTAGTCGTTTTTTTTTTACCGTTACTCCTGGTGAAATCTCCTTGTCGAGTCTCATCGCAGACTCGCACGGAGATACTGGGTTAATACGTTTTCTGCTTTGTATGCTCGGTAATGCAAATGGTTCAAGATTTCTCATTGTCAACCGAGTGGAACTCGAATTTTGCACGAAATGGACTAAAACAGTTTTGCAACCAATTTTCATGAATACTGATTAGTCAAAGTTGATAAGTTTTCGTCCTGGACTATTTCTTTAAGTTTTAAAATGTTTCACACGCTCGGAAATCACGTTAAGTAGATACAACACAGGCGTGTGTCGGACAATCGGATGCGCCTACAGGAGCTTATACGATTCGTGCAAAGAATTTTTCATATTTAAAATGTCCTCAATATTTTATGAAAAACTCGAGGCGTGATGTGCATGCGAAACATTGATTCTCTAAGGGCAGATTTTCGCAAAGAACTTTTCTATTTCGCGTCTGGCGTGACGCGAGTGTATACGTACTTATTGCGCTTGAATATGAAAAAAAAGTTACTAAAGAGAAACTTCTTAACCAGGGGTGTCTAGTGTCTCGAGAAAAGTTACCGAAGTAAAAGGAGTAAGTAACGAGGCACGTGGAATGGAAGATTGGCGGAAGCCGAGCAAATGGAAAGAAAAAAGAAGGAAAAGAGATTGAAACAAGTAGCGGAAAAAACTTGTTTCCGGCTTAAAATACTAAATTGTAAGAAGTATGTTACAAACGGTTAGCGATACTACTGAAAAGTTATACGAAACGTCCAATTAATTGTAACGGATCGGTAGGGAGGGAAGTGCCGACAGAGTAAATTGGCTATTAAAATATGTATATATATATATATTTTTCAATCCATGAAAATCTAGTCACATAATAGCCAATTATATTTATAGATTACGTTAGAAGACAAGAGGATTGAATTGAATAACAAAACGCATTGAATTATTATAAATAAATAAAATTCAAAGAAGAAACAGGTGTCCGATTGTCGGACGATATAGCGAATAACGTGGCCCTACTTACCCACCTACCTACCGAAAAACTTATTTAAAAAGGGTCATTTAACCCACCCTAACGTGACGACTGACTAAACCCACGATCAGCATTTTCCATAAGTTCCGTGATCTCTGCGAAAATCCACGAAATCCTAAAAACAAACTGTAATACGGTGTAGATTACGAGAGAATGGTAACTTAAAAAAATAAAGCACGACGACAGTTGC